CCGGGTATAGGTTGGTACTCGACCAGGTATTGGGTTTTACACCCAAACGGTCAGTTTTGAATGAGTATAACGTGGGGCGTTCAGATGAGAACCGTACACGTTGATTATTAAGGATTATTATATGACTATAGGGCTAGGTATTGTCCATAGTTAAAGGAATGAAAGGTTAGCCATATCCAGGTTAGGGTTTGGTAAGGAATAAGGTTGGGGTTGAGTATCCCCGGGACGACAAATAGTCCTGAAACTCGGTTGGGGTTGAGTATCCCCAGGACGGTAAATGATCCTGAAACTCGGTTGGGGTTGAGTATCCCCGGGACGGTAAATGATCCTGAAACTCGGTTGGGGTTGAGCATCCCCGGGACGGTAAATGATCCCAAAACTCGGTAGGATATTATGAATGTAGAACATAGCTTATGAGCTAGATATCTGGGAAAGGAGTGAGATAAGTCAAGTAAGAACTTCATCTCTAAAAAACTCTTTAAGGTAAATGACCTACGGGTTAAGTATTTTACAAGTGTATATACAACATTTATCACCGAGTGGATGAGAGACAGCTATATATATATATGTAACACCTTATTTTTTGGGTCTCGTGTCTGAAACATTAGTTATTCCTCATATAGCCTGCTTGTCACTAGTACTTCTATGGAGTACTGACCCCTCCGGGGGTCCTCACATTTTTCAGGTTAAGGCTAGAGTCCTACTACCTGCACCTTTGCCTAGGGTGGTTGATCAAGAAGGGAGACGTGATTCGTGCTTCCATTCTTATTTGAAAGTTATAAACTGCTCATGGTTATTTGAACAATGTTTTTCTTCTAAAACATGTGGGAGCCTGCGTGCTCGTGTTTGCCACGTGTGGCTAATTATCAAACATACTATATTTCCGCATTTGTTTGATTATGATATTGATGTTGATTGTATGTGTTTACTAATCGGTTTGGCAATAAAATCTATTGGACGCCTTGTATAATTCAATAGGGATGAACTGTTGTAGTTCTTATTGGGTTGTACGGCGGTTGTCTACGTGGCACGGATGCGGTCCGGGGCGTGACATCTGCCCCCATGTAATTTTTGGTATCAGTTGGAAGGGGAATGTTTCCCTTCTCGTTCTGATAAATGGTCGTAACAAAGAGGACCAAAGGGGTGAATCGTCCTGGCTTCAGAGGGGGTGCGGCCGCCGGGATAGAACCCAGCCGATCGGCCAATCTTGTAGGGGTAGAGGGTGTAAATACCTTATCCCTGATCATGATTTCCTCCTCCAGAGCCGCATGCTTTCGGGACCTATCCAGCAATTCGGAATACACAATGCCCGAATTCTTTTTCAAATCTTTATACAGTTCACCCGTTTGGAGAGCGTTAGTGAATAGGGTGATGACTGTATCATCCCTCATGTTTCCAACTTTTAGGGTTTCATCCCTCCACCTTTTCAGAAACTGATTTAGGGTCTCCTTCGGCCCCTGCTTAACCCTAGTCAGGTAGCTAAAATGCCGCTTTTGGGTGGTACTGGAAGCAAACTGGGCCTGAAATAAGGATGATAATCCAGCAAAGTTGCCGATCGATCTTGGTTGTAGGGTCCCGAACCATTCCTGGGCCGGTCCCCTGAGTGCGCTAAAGAAAAGCCGGCAAATAGCCACCTCTGTTGCCCCCAACAGCATGAGCCCCCCTTGGTAACTCCTCAAATGCACATGGGGTCTCCCGCCCCGTCATATATCTGACCGGTCGGCGGTTTGGCATCTCTGTGGATTTCGGCATCCATTATTTCCCGGGTAAAGGGGGAAGTGATCCCAACTTGCACCGGGGTAGGTTGTAGAGGTGCCCTGTTCATCTGGTCCCTCATTTCGTTCATCTGTCTCCTCATTTCGGCCATCTCTTCCTCCTGGGCCGTAAGGGGAGGTGGTGGTGGAGTTTCTAGATTAACAAACGCCCGAGTTCCTTCTGGTGGGGTTGCTCTCTGATTCTGACGTCCCTGTCTGGATCGGGTGTTATCATGTTCATAACGGAAATGGCGCCTAACCGGCGTATCTCCTCTAGCTCGTGACCTGGTCGGGGTGTGGTCACTGGGAGTGTGATGCCTACCCCCAGACGTATGAGCCCTTCTGTACTCTCCCCGATGGGCTCGTGAATGATTCGAAGCTGTGGTGGTTTCTGTATCGGTAGTTTCCTCTTGGAATGATTGCATCGTGGATGGGGTCGTGTATCTGGTTTCCCCCGTATAGCTGGATTGTCCCCCATCCTGCTCATCCGCCAGGTGCTGCATGACCTGAGCTAAATCTCGCATCGCGTGAGGATTCCTCCTCAATGCTTTAGAGATGAAGAAATCCCCATCATAGTGCGGGTAAGATCCCCGACCGGATTGCCCTTGGGGGGTCCGACTTTCCCCGCGTCTTCCGGAACCTTCACTAGTGTGATGAGAGGTGATTCTAACCATCTTGATAATAGGTTGTTTTGGGTAAGTGATTGGTGTGAAACTTTTTGTTCAAGTTTCCCACATACGATGCCAATGCTGAGGTTTAATCCTGTAGATCCGAAAGCCCAACACACGCTTTGGAGATTTTAGGATGTGGATAATGATTTGTGTGTAAGAAAATATAAAATCTCAATAATAATAAGCTCAAAGCCCACTTGTATTAAGTGATTTGCTGAATTACATAAGAACTTCCCGAACGGTACGTCGGAATAGTGATTAATACAACAATGAGAATGAGAAAACTATTCTAGGCCTTGAGTCTCAAAATGCTAACCCTTTACAATGAGATTAATCCCTCTATTTATACTAATGGGGGTATGGGGTGCTCTATGCTAATTGGTAGTTAATCCATCGACTTAGACGCCCACCCTCCCACTTGCTGATGTCACACTCTGACATTTAATGCACTTCGCCACTTGCCAATGGTCCGTTGCCCGATCGGAGTGGTGGGCCATGCTGAAACGTTATTGATTTGGCCAAAGTATCTTGGCTGACCCGAACCCCATTCGGTATATATTTCTCCCTGAGCCTGTTCATCTTCTGGATTCCGGGCTATTTATTGGACTGGATATATTGGGCCTTTGACCCGGGTATTGGGCCTTCGGCCTAATATCCCAACGGACATGAATAGGAAATAATTAATATTCAAGGAAGAAGATTAAAGAAAATAACTCACAACTTACAAATTCATTAAGCTTCAAAGTAGAAAAACCAAGATGGAAGAGTTTAGCTCCTCATTTGGAGACTAAACATGATGAAAATATAAAGAAAGAACTATTCTAGTCTGAGCTTAGAAGTATATGTGAATTGGTATCTAATTGTGGAGGGAATGAGGGTTATTTATAGGGTTTTGGGAATGCAACTCGGGTACCCGATCGGGTATATACAAGGTACCCGACCAGGTATGTGTAAACTTTTAGATTCGAGGCATACTCAATCGAATTCGGGGTTAAAATTGAAGGCATACCCGATCGGGTGTGTCGGTGTACCTGATCGGGTATAGACACTCGATCGTGGTCAAAATCTTCCCTGCATGTTCCTTTGTCTTCGGATCCGATCCGATTTGAAGTTTCAACAAGATACCCGATCGGGTATAGGTCATACCCGACCGGGTATAGACCAAAAATCAGGATCTTCTATTTTGTCTTGTGATTTTGCACCTTCCTTCCACTTTTGGGGTTCACCAATGGTCCTTTGAGTGATCATAGACCTGTTTGAGCTCATAATAAACCTAATCTAAACAATTTACAAGTATTTAACAAACTAAACTATTACACCAAAAGTCTGTAATTTCCAAGGTAAAAACCAATCAAAACTAATTAAAAATACAAACATAAACATGGAAGTTACAAACGTATCAGTAGAACTTCATTTGTTTGTTCTATTGTCCCTAATGGTTTCTAGCTCCTTGGTCATTACCGTCCTTGAAGGCACTAGAACACTCGAAAGGTAATGCCCTCTAGATTTCCTCTACGAATACAATCTTTTTTTGGCTAAAGGGTCAAATAGGTACATGAACTAACTTAAAGTGTTCAATTAGCCCCTTATATAGGAGGTTCTGCACGACCGTCGCCTATTGGGGCGGTTCCCGGTAAAAAAATTTGACAGTTTTTTTTGAGCATCTTCTTCATTAAGTCTAGTTTACCCATATCAAATTTCAGCTAAAAATTAAATAGGGAAGGCAGTCAAATGATTTTCCGAAATGTACTGTGCTGTTTAACTGCGCAGTTATGAATAAAAAATCATTTGACTGCCTTCACAGTTGAATTTTTAGCTGAAATTTGGTATGATTAAACTAGACTTAAATAATAAGATGCTCAAAAAATTTCATCAAAAAATTCCACCAGGAACTTTCCTAATTGGCGACGGCCGGGCAGAACCTCCTATATAAGGGGCTAATTGAACACTTTAAGTTAGTTTATGTACCTATTTGACCCTTTAGCCATCTTTTTTATATCCCGGTAGGCAAACCACCTTTCGGTGGGGACAAATGTAGTACTTTTTCTTTTCTTTTTTTATAGATTTCAAATCAGTAATATTTTTAGCGTTCCTCAATTCCTTGAATCCTTTGTAATTATGTTATATAAACACAAATACGTAACAAAATATTTATTTATATATCTATTTGTAAGTGTTTTTTGTTAGTACGAAGTTATCACAACTTTATCGAACTTTGTGCTCTGAAAAATTCATCCCAAATTTTTAATTGTTGTAAATTCGAGTTGGTCAAACTATTCGTTAGATTGTCACCGTCATCTAATGACATAGTTAAACATAATACCTCCGTCCCATTCAAAGGTTCCAAATCACTATTCACATGATCAACTTAAACCATTCTTAATATTTTGCTTTATATATCAAATTTAAATTTTCTTGATCAGGCTTTGTAAATTTTTTAATCTAATTTCTGAATGTATAAATTTTATTTACTAACAATAAATTTTATCGGATGGTTATGCCTCTTTGTTTAAAACGACACCAGTTTTGTCGTGATTTCATAATTACTTTTTCCCAAACATTGCCCCAAGGGCAACTGAGACGGCGAACTCGCACTCTCTCAGTCTGTCCCATCACCCCAGCCACAGGCTCTTTCTCCCTCTCTCTATAGCATACATACACACGCGGTGCTTCTGCTGAATATCCGGTCCGCTCCTCCGTGCATTTTATTCAATTTTCTGCTCGAGAGTCTTTTAGACGGCATAACTACATCTTTGGGTTGTTGATCTAGGGTTTGACACCTCCCGAAAACCCCACCTGGTGCTATTACTATGACCAATCGAGCAGCCACTCCGTCGGGGTGGAGTTGAGAAACGTTCGGTATTTCGTCTTCGAATGGAGGGAGGTAGCGTCTCTATACTTACTCCATCTGCTGCTCTTTAATTCACCATGCTCGGTCGAGCTGATTATTATTAAATTGAGTGCACTAACCATCGTAGTAATTAATGCCGCTGAATTTCACGTGTATCTCGAAAATCCCCCCAAATTTGCGATTTGCCAATGCCACAACCTGATTTTTTCAAAGTGACACGCAAACCTTCTTGTCTCAACTCCATAAACTCATTTAGCTTGTACTAATAGGTAAGACCATGTGCATGTGATGCAACAACCTCATAGTGTTTCTTTTATTTTTTGTAGCCATTCTTCCTTTGAATGAAGTGAAAACTCGCATTTAACAAAAATTTCACTCAAAGACAAAATTTGATGAAAAATTACTTTATAACCTTAAACTGAAGCATGAAACTCATCCCCGGATCTGGATTGCAATTTTAAGGGCTGGTATGGGTATCATGTTTTCAGGAGTAATATTTTCTGTATTTATACATAGACATTTTGACTTCCAGTCAGGTTATTTCATTTCCAAAAGAGAACCCATACTTTGGATTCAAGGATAGAGTCAAAGTGAGACATCTAATACTCTTGTATCTCCTTTCCTCTTATTCATTCATACATATATATAGTAGATACTTCTTCTTGCAGGAGATCACAGATGGACTATAATGAAAATGATTACCAAAGCAAGAATCTTCACTTAGCAGGTGAAGATAGCTTGAAAGTCTCCCCCGTTTTGCGTCCTTTCACTCTTCCCAGATTTGATTATGATGATAGCCTCCAAGGCCATTTAAGGTTCGACAGTTTAGTTGAAAACGAAGTTTTTCTTGGAATTCCTTGTCAGGAAGACAACCAGTGGATTGAGGATTTTCCTCGAGAAAGTAGTGGAATCGTAGAGTACAGTTCAAGTGTAACTCAGCCTTGCTCAATCACTGGACACAATAATGTGTGGTATGAGGCGACATCTTCAGAATCTGTTGAAATGCTGTTAAAATCAGTTGGTCAAGAACATAATCTTCCTGAAGACACTACTATTCACCAGTCAAGTTGTGACAAAGAATTGGGTAATGTAACCCATAATTTGGAACCTAGCTTGCTTGAGGATGATAAAATGGACTATGCCGAAGATACTATGATCAGTGTACAAACAGATCAGTATCTGGACAAGTTTTCCAGGTCAAGTGAGGTTACTGATGGAGAGACAGACCATTTTAAATGTACATCATCGGTGGCAGGAACACCTTCGAAAATTGATGCCAACTCTGAATCTTCACCTTTGCTGGATAAGGAGTGCGGCTTGGTCATTCCTGAAAAATGCAAGCAAAATTTGCTACCCGCTGAACCCTCTCAAGGCATCAATTCACATATTATTGCCTCTTCTGAAGTGAATGCATGCAAACACCAAATTGAGGAATCTAGCTTGCTTCAAGATAATAAGATGGACTACGTCAAAGATCCTGTTATTGGTGTGCAGTCAGATCAGTTTCTGGATAAGTTTCCTAGTCCGAGTGAGATAACTGAAGGAGAGATAGACCATTTTAAATGTGCATCACCGGTAGTAGGAACATCTTTGAAAATTGAGGCCAACAGTGAATCTTCAACATTGTTGGAAAAGGAGTGCGACACGCTCACTCTTGAAGAATGCAAGGATAATTCTCAATCCCATGAACCTTCTCAAGTCAATAATTCACATATGATTGTCTGTTCTGGATTGAAGGAAAGTAAACACCAACTTGAGGAACCTAGCTTACTTGAGGATGATAAGATACATTCTTCAGAAGATCCTATGATTGGTGTACAAAGAGATCATAAGATACACTCTTTAGAAGATCCTTTGATTTGTTTACAAACAGATCAGTGTCTGGATAAATTTTCAAGGTCAAGTGAGATAATTGAAGAACAGATTGGCCATTTTAAATATACATCATCAGTGGAAAGACCATCATTGAAAATTGATGCCAACACTGAATCTTCAGCTTTGTTGGGAGTGGAGCGTGACTTGCTCACTCCTGAAGAGTCCAAGGAAAATTCCCATTTCTCTCAACCTTCTCTAATCAACAATTCACAAATTAGTGTCTCTTCAGAAGTGAATAAAAGCAAACACCAACTTGAGGAAACTAGATTGCTTGATGATGATAAGATGGACTATGCTGATGATCCTATGGTTGGTGTACAAACAGATAAGTTCGTGGATAAATTTTCTAGGTCAAGTGAAATAACTGGAGAGTTAGACCATTTTAATTGTACATCATCACTGGTGGCAGGAGCATCTGTGAAATTTGTCGGCAACCTTGAATCTCATCTCACTCCTGAAGAATGCAGAGAAAATTCCCTATCTGCTGAACCTTCTCAAGTCAACAATTCACACCCTATTGTCTCTTCAGAGGGAAAGGAAAGAAAGAACCAACTTGAGGGTGATAATATGCATCAAGACGAGAAATCTGTTTCCTTTTGTGCAACAAATGTGAGAGAGACTGATGACCAAGGTGCAAATTTTGAGAGGGAGGAAGTGTTTTCATCAAAAATAACACATGAACAAAACATTTTCAATGGCCAAGAACATAATACTATTGATAATAGTAGCTCGAGTTCTGAACTTGTAACTGGAAGCAATTTTTTCCATGCAGATGATCATGTTAGCCCAAGAGATGTGTGTCACACTGATGAAATTCATGAGAAGACACCTGTAGGTGAGAATTTGGAAGGTGGGGAAGATGCCTTAAGGTCATATGAAGTGGATTACTGTGATAGAGATCATGCCTCTTCCCATGCCATAGATGATGAACCTGAGAAGATATGCAGAGACGACTTTTCCTCAAAGGAGCTAATTAATGCTGTCAACAGCGATCTAGAGGTTTCTTTTAGTGAGAGAGGGGAAATTGTGTCAACTACTATCTCTAGTGACATGGAAAATAATAAATCAATTGATCACCAAATCGAGAGCAGATCTTCTCTGGGTGAAGAGTGTGTAGCACATGTTGAGAATGCTTATGGGACAGAATTTGCCAACAAAATAGTAAATAAAGAAGGTATTCCTTATAGTTATGAAGATGGGACCTAGATAACCTGATTCATTTGTCTCTTACTAGTAAAATAATAGACCTTTTGTTTTTGCAGCTTTATGCACTGAGGAGGAAGATGCTACCCAATCCTCAGATGACATAGGGAACAATGACTCATTCACTGAAATAAGTGATGTTCCGGCTGCAGTGGTCAATCAATCTGAGAATCTGCCATTGCCAGTTAAGGACGAAATGGATACCATCTGCCCTGCAGAAAAAGCAAACTTATCAGCATCAAGTTCATCCTTTCAGATGGAAAGCCAGCCAGGTCCTGTTCGTGGTGTTGAGAAAGACCCATATGTGCGAACACTGTTGAAAGGTACTGATCTTTTCATTTTCAACGTAGCTGCTAATTCTGAGACCAAAGCTGACCAAGCCAGTGTTTCTGGTGAAATTCATCTAGACCATTCCATGGATGGAGATATAGGTCCCCAGCATGATTCAGTTTATCCAGGCACACCAATGACAGCTGATCATTCCATTCCTATGAAAGAGGCTGCTGATACAGAGACCAAGATTGACCAAGCTCGTGCTTCTGATGAAGTTTGTCATCATTCCTCCATGCTCGAAGAAATTGTTCACCAGCATCACTCAGCAGCAGAAGTGGAGGGTCATGATGCAAATGGAACAGTAGGCAAGCATGTTGAAACAGAGAGCGTGATGAAAAGTGCATCAAACACTGAGGGTGAGTGACATGAGTGTGTGCATGTGTGCGCACACTGCACCATTTGGCACTTGCTATAATAATAGCTAACTTTCATGAAGAATGTGGATTCACTATTTTCTACTTGCTAGCCTATATGTTGGATGAAAAAGTTATCGACTATTATTTGTTCCTTAAATGATTGTTTGCCAATCTAATCTATAATTTCATCAAAATTGAAGTTAATGCTTCTAAGTGGTGCACTATTAAATAAACAGCATCATTTTTTAAAACATGAAATACTATGTATATAACATGATTTACTTGACCAAGGATTGTTGCAAGACTTATAAAAGATTTGCTTTCATTTACAAGTGATTCTCTCTGTACCAAAAGTTGCCTGTATGATTTGTTGCATCCTTTTTAATCGTTTAAGCTGCATTGTGCAGAGAGAGAAGTTTCCAAGGTGAGTTCCGCTGTTGTCACAACAAGCACTCAGGTTCAGCATAACGAGAACGAAAAGCTAGAGATTGACAATAAAAGTGCTGCTGAAAATGTGTCATGTCCTCTGGGCATAGATGATTTTGGTGGTAAAGTAGAGTCAATGTGCATCAAATCTAGTGTATACTCATTGAAGAAAGAGATGTGCAAGGACTCGCAGCCATACGGCAATAGCAAAACCCCAGAAGTCATGATGGTGTGCATTTATTGATACAATAATCTTATCTTAAGAGTATATCATTCAAAGCTGTTTCTTTCCTATGCTTCCAGAAAATGTTTCAGTCAATCTTTCACTTTCTCCAATTATTTTCTTCATCATTTGTGTGTGTGCTTGTCAAACTATTTAATTTGTAAATAATTTGAGTCAACCATCAGTATACACGTTTCATTCATTTGAGGGGGAAGTAGTGTTCCTTCTCCTATATTCATGCTTCTACCTTCTTATTACGTAGAGGAGGGATCCCTCATAATGTCTTTTAGCGACCAAACTGATACTAAGGTTGTACAGGAAGTATTACAGCCTGTTGACAAGGCAACACCATCTGCTGGTGCAAAAGGTGGCTCTGAGCATAAAATAAGGCGCCGTTCAGGTAAGCCAGGAAGAGAAATTAGTAAGAAGGGAAATCAAGTGAAGGAAACCCCTGTCATACTCTCCGAGAGGGTGGACAGCTCATGTGTGCACTTGGGCTCCTCTGTTTCCGGACAGTCGGTGCAAGTTGAAGCTGGAAGTGTTCAGCGCAGTGGCACAAAGATCAGTAATGTTGCCTCTACATCAACATCCATTCTTCCAGATCTGAACTCTTCCGCTACACCTGTGCCATTTCAACAGCCTTTTACTGATCTACAACAAGTGCAATTACGGGCACAAATCTTCGTTTATGGATCATTAATGTGAGTCAATATATGTAGTATGTGGTGTTTATATGCCAAAGTTGTTGATGCAAGTAGGGCTTAAACTTTTCAATTTTTTATATGTATGCCGTGAAACTTTTGTACTCTAAACTTTTTTTGCTTACATAGTTATTTTAGTACAACTGCTCTTCACATCTTGAAAAATAATTATCAGTAATTACATTATACCTCATTTTCTTCATTTTCATAAGAAAGTGAGATATTCATTTTATTAAGTTTATTAGTTGACTGCTTGGATTGTGGTTATTGCAGTCAAGGTGCAGCACCTGATGAGGCCATCATGGTTTCTGCCTTTGGGACCACCTCTGGTTAGTGTATTTGTAGTCTCCTCTGTTTCTTTATATAAATGTGAAATGTGGTCAACATGTGATGTATTATATCAGGAGGGAGGAATGTTTGGGAGCCCACATGGCGTGCTTGTGTAGAAAAGCTGCATGCACAGAAATCCCTCTTCTTTAGCTCTGAAGTGGCATATAAATCTGGTTCAGGTATCCTAAGCCCAAAAAGCCATGTTCTTGTAGCTCTTTTGCCATTATGATTATATTCTAATTTTGAGAAATGTAGGTCTAAAGACACCTGATCAAACAAGCAAATATGAGTTGCATCAAAGCAAAGCTCTTTCCTCAACAGCTCCCCGACCAAGCAGTAGCAGGGGTACTTCTATTCCACCTATAATTTCTCCTATGATACCTCTTTCAACACCTATTTGGAGCATATCAACTCCCTCCTGTGATGGTCTACCACCCAGTGGTATGGCAAAAGGAGCAATTATGGGGTATCAGGCGGTTTCCCCTTTACCTTCTTTCCAGACACCACCCATGAGGAATTTCCTAGGGCAGACTAATTCTTTGCTCTCACAAACTCCTTTAACTGCACCATGGGTTGCTTCTTCCCCACAAACTTCTGCTTTTGACATTAGCACTACTCGTGTTCCCGTTTCCCCCATCGCAGACCCTGTGAATTTGACGATCCCTACAAAAGAATCGTCTGGTGTTTTTAGTGGGACAAAATATGCATCACCAATCTCTGTGCCGCCCCCTTGTATGCCACCTTCTGGGGTCCTTCCAGAGATTTCTGCTCAACATTCTACCGAACCAAAATCTAAAAAGAGGAAAAAGGTGTCCTATACTGAGGCTCCTGGACAGACCCCACTATCAATTTTACCAGTGCCTGCCGCGAGAGTTAATTGCCGTTGGCCAAAACTAACTCATTCACCGGAAGATGTTGGACATGCCTCATTAATACCTGAAAGTGAGATAGTAACAACATTTGGTACTCCTATTGTTAGCAATTGTTCTTCTATGACGATTGCTGTTTCTCCATCCATATCTGCCAACCACTCTAAAATAGATGATACTGATGTGGAGAAAAGGAAACTAACTTTACTGGATTTTAACAGAGTTGATGATGCGAGGTTACAGTCAGTTGAGGCTGCTGAACATGCAGCTGTTGCACTTGGTCACTGCCAAGATATATGGAGTCAGTTGGAAAAACAGAAGAACTCAGGATTGATGTCAGACGTTGAAACCAAGCTGGCTTCTGTTGCCGCCACTATAGCAGCAGCCGCTTCTGTTGCTAAAGCCGCAGCCGCAGCTGCTAAGATTGCATCAAATGTTGCTTCACAGGCAAGGCAGATGGCTGACGAGGTATTGGCATCAAATGAGAGCAGGACAGACTCTCTATCTGACTTTGTAAGAAACATGGAAGGTGCAACTCCTGCTTCCATTCTAAAGGGTGGTTGGGGTGGGCCCAATGGTTCTGGTTCTGTTATTATTGCTGCCAGGGAGGCAGCTAAGAGAAGAATTGACCTTGCTTCTGCCAACTCAATACATGCTGAAAATTTAGATGCAATAGTTAAGGCTGCTGAACTGGCTGCTGAGGCTGTATCACACGCTGGCAAGGTTGTCGCAATGGGGGATCCTTCCACATTAAGTGAATTAATTGAAGCAGGGCCTGATGGCTACTGGAAAGTTTCCAAAACACTAGGAGAGCAGTGTGTGAAATCAAATGACACGACTTTGGGAAAAACTGGTCTCAATGGCACTGAAATGGCTTCAGATGTTTGTCTGGAGAAATCTGAGTGGCCATCTAGAAAAGCTTTAAAGGCCCTGGCAATTGTTCCATTGCCTCTCCTATTGGAAGGAAGTGCCAGAGTAGAAGAAGACATATCACCAACGATTGTATGTGCTGAAAATGAAATGTGTGGGAGCAAGGGTCCTGCTCCAGAACCTACTAAGTCACCCGACTCTTCTTCCTCCAAGCCAGAAGTGGACTCTAGGTTAGCTTCCCTTCAGGAGGCCTATGGAAAAGGTGAAAGTTCAACAAGTGGAGAAAACATAAAGGAAGGCTGTCTTGTTGAGGTGTGATGATTAAATCCAATCATTCCACATGTCAATATTCTTGTGTTACTTTAGAGCAACGTTGAGTTGACGGTATTTGTCTATTCCGTACTCTGTTCTTTCTCCAACTGTAGGTTTTTAGGGATAGTGGTGACTTGAACGATGGATGGTTCTTGGCAAATGTATTAAGCTTAAAGGATGGGAGCGCTTTTGTCTCTTACACTGAACTCCAATCAGAGAAAGGTAAGGTGTATTGCCTATACACAATACTCCCACTTCCTATTTATCTATCTTGGCTGACCAATTTTCCTTGTTCCTTTTTATGGGTCCATTTATGAAATCTATGCACATTCAATAATTATTTCCCAATTTATCCTTAAAAGGACTTGAACGAGGGTCTGGGGAAGGGTCTCATCACAAGGGTGTATAGGGGCAAGTGTTCCCCTATCAAATTTTTGACAAGAGGCCACTCCCAGGACTTGAACCCGTGACCTCGTGGTCACACAACAACACCTTAATTGGTGACCAGGGCTCCCCTTCTCTCAATTTATCCTTATACTATTCAATTTACTCCTCTATAGAGCACATTAGTGGGAGGGTTGCCCTTGCAAGTTTTTTTTGGGGTAAAATATTAAAATTATGATCATTTTATCTCTCAATATGGTTTCTTTATACTTACGCGCTGCTGCATGTTTGGGTAATTTTCTGGTCCAGGGCATCTAAAGGAGTGGATCCCTCTATGCATAGACGGTGATGAGGTGCCTAGAATACGCGTCGCAAAACCTATGACTGTTATGCACTTTGAAGGTGCCCGAAAAAGAAAACTAGCAGAAGTCAGGGATTATTCTTGGTCTGTCGGCGATCAAGTTGATGCATGGATCCATGATTGGTAACCATATCCACATATGTGCATATATGCTTCAGTTACATTCAGTTCATTTTTTATCATGTTGCCCTAACGTAGGCTTTGGCTAATTTGATGGGGACATGATATTCTTGTTTATTAGAGCTGGCTCATGGTATAACTATTGTTATTTATTACTCAAGCTATCCCATTTTGTTAGATATACTCATTGTGTAGCATGCTCCAAGATTCACTTTCCTAATTTAAACTTTACTAGATTCTCACCTTCCCATTTCATCCATTGTCTACTGTCTCACCTTTTTAGTGTCCAGGAGTATTTTTCTTATATGGAAAGGTGAAGATTGTTAAATAACAAGATATTCCTATGATTTTCATAACGTGCGTCCAATACGAATGCATCTTACATTATTATTGGGAGGGTGTATTTTATACGGAGTAATAATATACGGATTAACTAAATCCATATTACAATAATTTCTATTGGAGGTCAGGAGGTGTATGTGTTGTGTAACAGAAAAATAAAATCAACGGGGTAAACCGTTGCCCAGATAATCAACGATAAAAATACCATTGCCCAGAGCCAAAAGGCTAAAACCAATTTTGTTCCAAGATGATCCCGAATGAATCCTAACGAGGGGTTTAAATACCCATCTACTAATTCTCAAACTAGGAAACAAAATCCTAGAAATCCTAATCAACTCCAACTAGGAAACAAAATAATAAAGATCCTAATCAACTTCAAATAGGAAACAAATAATAGAAATCCTAATTAACTCCTACTAGGAAACAAATAATAGAAATCCTAATTAACTCCAAATAGGAAACAAATCAGTAAAATTAAAAATAATAAATATTAATTAAGCAGCCCGCAACCAGCCCACGAAGGTGGGCTCAAGCCCGTTCCCGCCTGCAGTAAACCGACAGCCCCTTGGGTCTCGGACCCTCCTCTTCCACACAGCCCCCCTGCTCTCCCTGCTCTCCCTGCTCTCTATCAGTATGTACCCTCTATTAAAACCATTTTCTTCAAGATAGAGTATGAATATGGCTTTTCACTTCTTTTATCTATAAATTATGTCGTCTTTTTTGGTGTAGCTCTTCAACTACCCTTGATATTGTCCTAATGGGATGATGTAGTATTGTGGTTGATGTCCTCTAATGTGTGGTTGCAATTGATGGGTAATTCTCTGAATATTACTCCCTCCGTCCCTAAAAGGATTGCCATGTTTGACCGGCACGTAGAATAATAAAGTAAAAACTGTGTGGTAGAGATTTGTGCAGAGGAGAGAGAAATAACAGAAACCACAAATTGATTGACTAATAGGGAAAGTGGCAAAGTTTTTGGGACAACCAAAAAAGGAAAGTTGGCAAAGTTATAAGGGACGGAGGGAGTACTAAATTAAGACTGCTTTCAAAAAATGTGGCCACTTTTACATTTGGACAAAAATGTGACTAAAATAAAGTGACAGCATTTTCATGTCACTGTCGGATGTGACTGCCGCCACCATCGCTCATCTCACTGCCGCCACCGCTGCTGCCGGTCACCGTCGCCGACCACAGTGACACCGCCGTAGGCCATAGTGACACCGCTGTCCGCACCGCTTCATCCAGTGACCACCACTGTGCCGCCGCTGCACCACAAAGCCCTGCCCTACGCCTCAACCCCAACTCGCCTGCCCCAACCCCCTAATCCACACAGTGACCTCCGTCATCCCCTGACCTTCAACCACCGCCGTTACCAATTTCGATGACCACCACCTTTACCCATTCCGATGACCATCCCCACCCTCACCCCCCGGTTCCCTTGTGCCCTCGCGAACAGCAAGCCTCCCCCATCGTGCCACCATTTGCGCCAGTTCATAGAAGCCGTGAACATCATCCGTCGTTGGGGGAACGATGAAGAAGACAATGGAGATCCAGATCTGGAACCTCGTCGCAGATTCGAAAGGTGGAGATGAAGAAAGTAAAAGAAGAAGATTTAGACGGCGGCGATGGGAGAAGATGGAGATGACAGAGAGTTTGCTGGGAGACGAGCGGAGATTTGTTGATCTGCGGCGATGAGCGAACGTAGATGGAGACGGAGGATTTTGTCGAAGCTTGGAGATGACGGGCCTTTAGTGTTTTAGACTCACACTTCTTTGTTTTAAATGGTCAGTTTTGTGTTCAAGTTTAAAATGGTCACATTTTTGTCTATCAAAAGTCCGTAGGTTATATTTGAATACTTCTTAATAAACATTCTTCATCTCAATTACGGGAAGCTATTTATTTTGTGAATGAATTGCCACAACATAAAAATACAATAACAAAACTATCGAGTACTGCCCAAAACAAATGAAATTACCAAAACAGGTGATACTGTTGATCTGCGGCGATTTTCTGAAGCGATTTATTGGAATCTGTGAGGACTCACCAAGTACTCACTACTTAGCCCTAGACCTTGCCATTTTAAGTTTAATAATTTGAAAAAAACTGGGTCATTCTGAGATTAAAAGAAGCGTAGGAACTTCAACTCAATGAGACTCTTTTTCAAGGTTCTAATGGTTCCTAAAACTACAAATGCTCACTCAAGATGTGTTTTTAGTCATGGAGGAAGATAGAGATAATGCTGATCTCGAACCAAATGGTGTCATTTAGGATATAAGCAGTTAGGATTCATTAGATGAATCTTCTTCCAATGCTTTATGAATTCTTATAAGACTTGTTATTAGAAATTTGTACCATATATCTTTATAGCTTTACTTATACAGGGTCAAGTATTCACTGAGTACTCGCTCAATTGTAATCATTACTTGCATTTGATCGAGTAGCGTTCTGAGTAACGATTCAAATACTCACTTCATGGGTTTCTGTTGCTATTTTGACATTAAGTATAGAATAACTATGATTGATGCTGGTTTTTGTCAAATTAGTCTAAAATACTTTATAACCTTTGTACCTATATTTTAAGCTGGCGAGAAGGAATCATTGTTGAAAAGAACCAAAAGGATGAAACTATGTTCACTGTCAATTTTCCAGGTATGGTATCACCTATTCCATTTTTTTCAATAGTAATAAGCTAAGTATGGTGCTGATGAAAAGAGGGCCTATTTGCAGCCCGTGGAGATAATGCAGTTGTTAGAGTGCAACATCTTCGTCCTAGGCTTGTTTGGAAGGATGGCTTGTGGATTGAGTGGTTCACTTCAAGAGAACAAACTTCTCCCCAGGTAAAACACACACATGAGAACTGTGACACGTTATACCAACAAAGTTGGCCTTTTCAGTTTTATTTATTTACGTGGTTGATGATATGCTTTTCAGAGCAACGCTCGGAAGGGGAAGAGGGCAAAGTTGCGAAATGCGACGAATGAGGAGGTAGACTGGGAAAAGGTGAAGGCCGCAAAAAGTGTTGATGTGTCAGAATTAGAGACAACCAAAGAAGAAACCAAATCAATCCATTTATCTGCTGCTGAAAAATTATTTAATATTGGTGGCCACAGGACTGAGAATAATCAGCCCAAGCCCGCCACACATAGGACAATGAGGTCTGGCTTACTACAGAAAAAAGAAGGGCCTAAAGTAATTTTTGGTGTGCCTAAACCTGGAAAAAAGAGGAAGTTCATGGATGTAAGCAAACATTATGATTCAAACAGGGGGGGTGTTAAGAGCACCACTGCCAGTTCAACAAATGATTCAGCAAAAAATGGGATTCCAACTAGATCAGGAGTTGGTGGGGGATGGAGAACTAGTACCAAAACTGATGATCTAAAGGAGAAGAAATTCCTTGCTGAATCAAAACCCAAACCTCCCCTTAAACCTAGAAAACCACTCACTTCAAGTAAGATATTGAAAGATAACTATTTTAGGTCAACCCCGACTAGTTCTGCTGATGTCAGTCATGACAAGAGCGAATCGGGTTACTCAGATTCAGTGAAGTTCAGTTCCAATACTGAAGAAGTGGCTGAATCGAAGGCTCTTCCTCCTGCTGCCAAAAAGGCTCTAAAAAAATTGAAGAACAGACCTGAACAGATGAATAAGGGAAACTTTGCCACTGGTAGTGGAGCGTTAACAAAACCAGATGAGGTGAATGACAAGTCAACTTCTGAAACCAATGAACCGCGCAGGTCAAATCGCAGGATTCAGCCAACATCCAGGGTGAGTATGTTTATATAGACCAAACAAGCCCCAAATATCTCACTCGGAATTGGGGTCTGAGGTGTTTTATGCCGTTATAGTTTCAATATTTTTTTATATTGGTCAAACCACTTCAACCCCAAACTCTTTTGGGACTAAGGCTTGGATGCTGTTGTTTTTGTTGTAGTCAAACTACTTCAAATTCATTTTAAAAAAGTAGCTGCGAGCTATTGTGCAAGGTTCAGTCTCCCAACAAGGAATACTGAGATGAAATTCTAAAATCGTTCTTAATAAGTTAGTTTTCTCACTTGCATGTAATAGGTATAGATATCATAGGGTTTTCCTGTAGTTGCTTTCATATGCGTTCAGACTATCTTGTGCCTCACTGCTTGTTGAAAAAAAAGCTAATTTTTCTTGTAATCTGCCAAAAACTGCCAAAAAGGAACTCTGAACAAGCTACTTGATATTTTCATTTCAAAATCAAATGAATATAGATACAATTATGTTTTATAAAAGTTGCACCTAAACAAAATTATAAACTTGTTCATTAATGAAACAAGACTTTTTGTGGGGCACATGGAATATTAGTTTGTGTGTGCGTGTGTATTTTGAGAGTTCAGACACAGATAGTATCTAGTGCTTCTGGAATGGCTGCGGTATTATGGATCGATTCATGTTAGCCGACCCCAAAGTCTTTTGGGAATTTGGCTTGGATGTTGTTGTTAGTCTTTAGCAGAACTTGGAACGTGCATGTATAGATTAACTTCAAATAACCTAGTTACTAGAAGGCTTTTAATAATTTAATGTGATGTTCCACTTGGCATCAGTGGGTCCAATAACTTCAATGAATTGCAGTTACTGGAAGGCTTGGAGAGCTCACTGGTTATCCCAAAGCTCCCTTCTGTTTCACATGACAAAACTCACAAAAGCCACAACAGGGGCGCCACATCCAAAGGTACATCCCAGATATGTTTTTCTTGCATCTTTTACGCATTTCTCTTAAAATAAGGTGTGGTCTCAAGCCTGATTTAAAAAACCATATTATAATGTGGTATTTTTGGCAGGCTGATAGGAGCTTGTTGGAAGTGAACAATAATTTGGTGCGCATTTAATGTGATTCTCTCTGCGCACATCAATCGGGTGCATAAATGTTGTATATTTTTAATTATTTATTATAAAAGGTACGCATTGTTGGCGTGAATGTTCTCAGTTAGTTCATTGCCTCATTGGTGCGTTAGCAGCAGAATTGTGAAAAGTATCTCCCGTTCCTTCCCCTATATATATATATATATATATATATATATATATATATATATATATATATATATATATATATATATATATATATATATATATATATATATATATATATATATGTAGTTTTGTATATGGAAGTATGAAATTGGTGCATTGTTGGATCAGATTTCCCTTTTTCAGTGATCCTTATTTTTCTTTCGACCAACTTCTCATCTCACCTTGTCCGTTTAGTCGGGTTTTGATCCGAATTTTTAAACAATCTGAACAAAAGAAGGGGGTTATTCCTTCAATTTTACTAAATGACTTGATGAAGTGTGATTTCCTAAAATGTGATCACTTTTACACTTGGACAAAAATGTGACTAAAGCAGTCATATTTTTTGATGGACTTGGGCCGGGTGGCCTGGCACCGGCCCGGGACTGGTACTGTTCCAGCCCGGCCTGACCTGGTGGCCCGGTCAGTGACCGGTCCGGGTAGACCCGACCCGTGGGTTTTCCGGTCCGGGCTTGGGTCACCCAAAACAAGTCCCGACCTGGCCGGGCCCGGTTCGGGACAAAACTATTTTTTTTTTCAATTTTTTTTTTTAAATTTTCGGGTTGGGCTGAGTATTTTGGGCCATTTGGGGTCGTTTGGGGGGTTGGGGGTGGGAGAGGGGTTAATTAGGAAGAGGGAAAATAATTGATAATGGGCCCGGCCCGGACCCGGACAGGACCCGGTGGTTACCTGGGCCTAGGAGTGGACTCGGGCCGGGCCAACCGGCCCGGAACCGGACCGGCCCGCTACTGTGCGGGCCTGGACCGGCCCGGTTTGTCGGTTAGGTCACGGTTCGGGCCACCCGGCCCGGTCATGTAGCGGTTCGGGCCCGGATTGATATTTTGGTGAACCGGCCGGGCCGGGCCCGGGCCGGGCCTCAACGGTCACAATTTTTTTTTTTTTAATATTTGAAGGCTCTACTAGCCGTTGGGAGACCTCCCAAACGGCTCTATAGCCGTTGGGAGCATAGGAGGGGGGGGTCTGGGGGTTAGGGGGGTGGGGTGGGTGTGGGGGTGGGGTATACAAAAAAAAACTATTTATACTCCTATTTTCTATACATTTTTTACACCTTCTTTTACAACTCTTCCTACTCTCTAAATTCTCTATTCTCTCAAATCTTTTGGAGATTCTTGCATAAAAAGGTCAAATAAGCCCTTTTAATTGCGCAATTTTCTTCAAGAATTCATTTGAATGCCTTCCCGATTGAAGTTTTAGCTGAAATTTGGTATGCGAAACTAGACTTAATGAATAAGATGCTCAAAACATTTCATCAAAAAATTCCACCGGGAACCACTCCAAATGGCGACGGTCGGACAAAGCCTCCTATATAAGAGCTTATTTGAGTTCATCTCAAAAAGAAATTAATATTCTGTTGATTACGTTGTTTATTACTACGTACTTTTCACTTATTGTGCATTACTATTAGAAGAATATTATTTTAGAGTTGAACTATCTGCTATTGGATGTATACTTTGGAGCTATTGAACCTTTTAGCTTGACAGTTGATGCCTATTTTAAACCGAGATTTTTTTGTTATGTTCATTTTAGGAGGATAATAAATTTTTATAAGGAACCGAAAATAGGTAAGAACCAAAATGAATTTAACTAGAACCAAATCGAATTCAACTACTACATTTTTAACTAGAATCGAACCGAATTTAACGCGTACGATTTTTATACGGTTCCATTGAATTTTAACAAGAACCGGACCGATCCCAGGCCTAGGTTTGCCTAACACCAATGCAAGAGACAAATCTAATGTGTTTAACCAATTTAATCAGACACTTCACATACAGTGTATCAATGCATTATCAGTTGGAAGTAAAATAAAAGGGGTGCTTTTCATGTTAAAAATTACAAAAATAATAATAACAAAGTAAATATTTGTTGTTGTTTACCAAGATACTCTTGCGTGCTAATTAATTGGAAAGTAGCAACCGTGGTCCGTGCACATATACCACCTGCTTCTACAAATCAAAATACCAATAAACTAAACTAATTTAAACTTATTTTCATTACAAATCAAACCTAACATTTGGGTGGTATGTATTCTGATTTTCCCCTACATCAACATAAAACCCTAAATTTCAAAAAAGTGATTCTTAATATACAAAAAACAGTATTCAAGGAGTTCAATTACACAATAATAAGAATGGAAAACATACCAAAGATGAAGAAATCGTTGAGTAGAAAGAGTACATGGTTTCTCATGAATATTGCAATTTGCAATCTCAATCGTCCCACTCTGAGTAGCGGTCGCTCGGTTCGTATCTATGGTAAATCGAAATCACGGTTCTGTTCCCTGCCAAGTCTTGGACGCATCGAATAACCCGACCTCCCCTCCCCTGGCGCGAGATGTACCTTGCGAGGACGGGGACGGCGTAGTTTGGTTCATGATGACGATGCTTTATCCTCCAACCTGGAGCGATTCATGTACACTTGAGCATGTTGCTTCCACCGGCCAAACTCCGCAACCAGACCAACCCTCACAATAAACCAACCAACAACCACCTGCCCCCAACCAAAACAAAGCCAATTTATCTAGCCCGGTCGAGCTAGAATCAACATCCCGAGGCGTATCTCCAAAAGATACTAACCGAGGAGGAGATGGAAGTCCTGATAATGTCGCCTCCAGTACATCTTTGATATCAGGCCATCAGTTAACATCCTGAGGCGTACCCCCAAAAGGTACTAACCGAGGAGGGGATGGAAGTCCTGAAGATGCTATCTTATATACATCTATTGCTTCAGGCCATCAGCCAGACCCCAGTTCAAAGCTGACGACAACGGACACTCCAAATGAACCCGGTTTTGCTTCTCTTGGAAAATCACCAATTCAAACACAACAACAAGCTCCTTCTATTCCTCCACCAGAGGACATCCATGATATGCTGGAAGATGCGGTGATACACGATATATGGCCCCGGAAATGGACAGAGTGAGATACTCTGAGATGCGAAGCCGAGACAGAGGATATGCAAAGAATCTAGTGGCTTCGTGAACTACTGGCCAAGTGTGCTGAGGACATCATACGCCTTGATGAAGAGGAACTCAAAGAAGGGGAAGATTACAAGAAAACTCCCAAGGAGCTTGAATCGATTAGCAGACAATCACCGGGTCAAATGCCACTAAAGGAGAAGCCCTGGGAGAACGTACGAATCAATACCCCCTTCCAAGAGGAAATTAGAAAGGGAATCTAGAGACAACCAGGGAAACTCAAGGCACTCGATGAGCTAAAGATCCGCGGGCTAACCCACTTGAAAGGAAAATTTGTGGGTGGACATCTACACATGCTGCATCACAGATCTTCAGGAAAACAAAGACAGATCCTTGAAAAGGACTTAAAGAGCAGCACACATCCGATTTGCAATATTCTCCATGTGCACGAAGAAGATCACCACGGCAAAAAATTCTTCAGCTACAAAGTTCAACGCACATACTCTAGCGAATTCATCTACCAAGAGAATGACTTCATCATGATGAAGATGGATGACATCTACCAGATGTTCATGGCATGCAGACATCTTCCAACAAGTCACGATAGAGTCTGTCGGGAAGGATTTGATGCTATTAAAAGATTCATGCTGAGGCAAATCAGATTCTACACTACTCACGATTTGCAAATGGCACTTGAGAACAATGCTCGAAAAGCAAATCTTACAAGGCCAACTTTATATGATGAAGAGCTGGAAGAATATCAACCTTACCAAATCTTTAAAGATCCGCTCTCAATCATTTATCTCAATCATAATCAGCAAAAGCGCCTGATGTGGGTAGAAGACATTCACAAATATTGTGACGGGACTTTAAAGGTCATACAAAAGAAGTTACTGCCTCTCAAAGAAGATCTTGAGCGAAGACTTGCTGATGCTACTGATGAAGAGCTGGAAGAGTTCGACAAATTGGAGACAATCCTGCAGCCTATCATCAAACAGCTTGATAAGAGAAGATCTTTGAGACAGTATGAGCATGCGCTAAACATAAGAAAACACTACGTCAAACCTACCTGCGCATATAAAGGATATGAGGCCCAAATGCCTGGCGTAAAGCCTGTACGCAAACCTACCTGCGCATATAAAAAGGCGCTTAAGGGTTAGGTTTGCGTTAACTTTTGCATTCGATCTTAACAGCCTCAGAGCTTATCATTCTTACTGTAGAAGTTCACGGTAGATCAAAGACGAGTTTAAGGATCCCCAGAGTATTTATCTTTCTGTTATTCTCATATTTGTGTATCGATTCATTGCTGTTAGTATAAACAGGGACAAACAGAATAATAGAGTATTGTTGAGGGTAAGTCCCGTAGATCCGAAAGCCCAACACGAACTTTGGATATATCAGGAATGGCCCAGAATCAAAGCGTAAAAGAAAATATAAGATCTGAACTAACTAAAACTCGAAAGCTCACTTGTATTAATTAACCAATCTGATTACAAGGGATTTCCCGATCGATAAGTCGGAAATTATGCCTTAATACAAGAAATAAGAGCAAATGATGCTATTCTAGAGCTTGAGTATTGAAATGTTAACCCTTACAATGACTTGAAACCTTCTATTTATACTAATGGAGAGCATGGGCTGCCTCTTGCTGATTGGCCGTTGTTCCACCGACTTGGTCATCCATGCTTCCACTTGCTGATGTCATAGTCTGGCATTAACTGCACCTGGCCACTTGCTGGTTGGCCGTTGCTCGAACGGGATGTTGGTCCATACTGAAGATGCTGTCAAATTGGCCCAAGTATGATATATAGCCCGAACCTCGTTCGGTATGTCTTCTTATTGGGCCAACCTTTATTTGGGCCGAACCCCGTTCGGTATGTCTCTTTATTGGATCTTTTCATCATAGAGTGATGGGCCTGTTACTTGGGCCGGACACCTTGGGCCTTCCTGAACTGGGTATTGGGCCTCTAGGCCAATATCCCAACACAAGTCCCCCACTTCCGATGTCTCGAACGAAGTGAGTGCATCAGGAAGTATACCAATGTCATAATACCCCGAA